ACAAGGGCAGTGGCTCACACCAGTAATCCCAGCACTTTGGGAGGCCGAAGTCAGTGGATCATTTGAGGTTAGGAGTTTGTGACCAGCCTGCCCAACACGGTGAAACCCGTCTCTACTAAAAAAAAATACAAAAGTTAGCCAGGTGCCGTGGCACGTGCCTGTAATCCCAGCTACTCAGGAGGCTAAGGCATGAGAATCGCTTGAACCCAGGAGGTAGAGGTTGCAGTGAGCCAAGATCACGCCACTGCACTCCAGCCTGGGCGACAGAGTGAAACTCCATCTCAGAAAAAAAAAATGGACCCACCCACAAAAGAAAATTTCAAAATGCATTTTAACCTTGATTCACTTGTCAAGGTTTTATATTTTAAAAATTCCCAGATTATAAGAATTTAATAAATTAATGTTTTAATCTCACTTCTTTTTTTCTACGGGGTCTCGACACATTGCCCAAAACTCCTAAGCGCAAGCATTCTTCCTAACTCAGCCTCCCAAGTAGTTGTAATCTCCCTTTATTTTTTTTTTTTTGAGACAGGGTCTCACTCTTTCACCCAGACTGGAGTGCAGTGGCATGATCACAACTCACTGCAGCCCCAACCACCTGGACTCAGGCAATCCTCCCACCTCAGCCTCCCAGATAGCAGAGATTACAGGCACATGCCACCACGCCCAGCTAATTTTTTGTAGAACTGGGGTTTTTTGGCCATGTTGCCCAGGCTGGTCTTCAATTCCTGGGCTCAAGCAATCTGCCCATCTCAGCCTCCCAAAGTGCTGCGATTACAGGCATGAGCCACTGTGCCTTTCCTGTAATCTCACTTTTAAAGTCAAGTTTAATGAAGTTTACTAATTTCAGATCATTAAGATTTCTCTAGTTTGACAGGTTTAACTATAAATTTCCAGGTCAGAATGCATACTTTACACAGGCATAGCCATTTAAAGTTGCTTAAAGGTGAAATTTTAGAAACTCATCCTATTTTTCCCAATGATTTATATGACTGGGGCTCGTGTAACTTATGTTACGAAAAAATTTCTTGGGTTTAGTTTTCTTTTCTTTTCTTTTTTTTTTTTTTGAGACGGGAGTCTTACTCTGTCGCCAGGCTGCAGTGGCACGATCTTGGCTCACTGCAACCTCTGCCTCCTGGATTCAAGCAATTCTCCTGCCTCAGCCTCCCAAGTAGGTGGGACTACAGGCAAGCGCCACCACGCCCAGCTAATTTTTGTGCTTTCAGTAGAGATGGGGTTTCACGACATTGGCCAGGCCGTTCTCAAACTTCTGACCTCAGGTGATCATGCCCGCCTGCGCCTCCCAAAATGTTGGGATTACAGGCATGAGCCCCTGCGCCCAGCCTAGGTCTTTTTTTCTTTTTTTGAGACAGAGTCTTGCTGTGTAGCCCAGGCTGAAGTGCAGTGTTGCGATCTCAGCTCACTGCAACCTCCACCTCCCGGGTTCAAGTGATTCTCCTGCCTTAGCCTCCCGAGTAGCTGGGAATACAGGCACATGCCACTATGCCTGGCTAATTTGTTGTATTTTTAGTGGAGACAGGGTTTCAACGTGTTAGCCAGGATGGTCTTGATCTCCTGACCTTGTGATCTGCCCACCTCAGCCTCCCAAAGTGCTGGGATTACAGGTGTGAGCCACCATGCCCAGTCACTAAAAGTTTTTAATGATGATATTACTTAGTATGGTCAAAGTAACTCATACAATATGAAAGGACTTACCAAATCAGATCAAATTGTGTGTTCTAGCTCTTTTAATCCTTTTTACTACTTTTTCTTTAACAGTAACCAATTTTTTTTTCTTACAAAGAAGGTAAAGTGAAGGAATTCAGCATTAGGAGAGGTAATTTATTCCAGGATTTAGATAACAAATTTAATAGCTCATGGATGTTACAATATATCCCATTACTTCCTATTTCTTTCAAAAGTTATTTCCTATTTCTCTCAAAATTATTTCTCTAAAATCTATGGAGAGAAACAGTTAATAATTTTTTAGTTGCTTGTTATACTTACTCTTAGAAAAACCTGATTTACAATGCTTTTGTTTGCATACATAAAAGTTGTTAGCAGCCCAATTCCAAGAGAAATTCCTGTTAGAAAATAAGTTCCAGTTAATTGAAAGAAAAAAAAATCAAAGAGGATTATATAAACAACATAAATTAAAAACATACACAATAATAAAAGCTAACAGAAAATAAGTAACTGAATGCATTAAGTAGATTACCAATAATGAAAGAAAATTAACTGAATTTAGGAATGAAAACAAGTCAATTATGCCCTACCTGTTATATGCTGCATAACAAGTTTGACACTCAGAATCAAAATATATGGAAGACTTTTTTGCAACCACTTGAAGAGATAGCGGAATTCTGAGAAGGAGCTACTACCATGATCTCCAGATTCTGCGGCAGTATCATCAGGCAGCCTTGCTTCACTGTGGGAGTGACCCCGTAAGCGACTGTGTACGCATCCATGGGCACAGCTATGGACACCTGACCTTGTATTTCTGGAGCCTGTATTTTCTGCACATTCTTTAGGTATAGAGTTTATCTGGATATGAACATCTCCAGAATGAAGACAAGACCCTTCTCCTGTCAATCTTGTGTGGACACACTGAGGGGTTGAAGCATCCTCACTGCTTCCAGTTCCTGGAGGACTGTGCAGTTGGCTACGATTGGCTTGCATGGCCCTTAAATACTTTTTCTCTGACCCAGATGTCTTTGCTTCAGGGCTCTGTCTCCTAAAAAATCAAATAGAAAATACTCTAAGTAAACAGGCAGTTAAATACCGTCAGTATATTCCTCACTGGGTATCCTTTATTCACTACAGGAGTAGCAAATAATCACAGCAGATGAATTTTCAGGTTATTTATCACTGGAGTCCTCCTTTCTCCCTTAATGCCAAGGCTCTGCTGCCCTACACAAATGATCTTTTAGGGAACATTTGCTACTAAAAAAAAGTTGAGCTGCAAATGCTTTCAGTTCCCTAATGTCAGAAGGCATCCGCAAAACAGTCATGAAGTGTGGGTGCCCAGCAGATGTTAATAAGCACCAGTCCTCACTGGATACTCTGGTACATTTACTTTGCCCAACTGGAGCAGTTTCATCTCTGATGTAGCTTCTACATCAAAGAAGTTTCATAAGGAAGAGTGAGTCAGTATTTTTTAATGGTTGGAAATGTTAGGAAGAAAAACGACATTAAATCTTAATGCCTTACTATCATCATAGGTAACTAATAATAAACACTGCACTTAGGTGACCTACAAATTACATTTTCTGCTCAAGCAGCTTTCCCAAAGCTCATAAAGTTTCCAATAATTAATAGTGCTACCAAGAATATTACCTCCCCGCGCAAAAGAATGTTACCTAAATACATTTAAAGCATAGATACTGTGGGGAGTCACCATGTAATTGCTAGATAACTCTTTAGTCTGAATAAGCACAGTTACACAGTCGACCTAATAAAATGCCACCGTCGGTGGTGTATGTATTACGGAGGGAGGGGTGTGAGGAAAGAGGACCCTAGCAGAGAAAGATCTCTCTAACAAATGATCCAGTGCGGACCTCCTGGAACCAGAAGAACAGAGTGGGCATCCCAGTTGACAATACGCAGAGCCTATCCCACGCCGCCGTGCTTTTCCCGTTTGTCTAGGAGGAGGCTAGAGTTCACTTCAGGGAATGTTCTGTGTCATTCTATTTCACTCCCAGGACTGAACAGTGGTGCAGTCACCGTGTCTGGCGGTTTGGGTTTCAGTGCTTTTCACTAAAAGCTTTCACCGAGGCCCCGACGCCACGGGTGTTATTTCGTCAAAACTCTGAAGAGCGACGTTGGACAGCAGGGTTTCAGTGTCTTTTCTATAAATAACATAGAACCCTCCCACTTTCCTTCATGCACAGACAAGAAAGAGGAGAAAAAAGGGAAGAAAAGTCAACACAACTCTTCCGGAATCTCCGAGGGCAGAGTTCTCCACCCACGTCCGAGCCTCGAGTGCCTATTCTCCCCAGAGCCCCCTGCGCCGCGGCCCCTCGCCGCCTCCTCCTCTGCCCGCTTCCCCCAGGCCTGACCTCTCATGACCAGAAGCTGACGGAGGTGTCGGGAGCGACAGCAAGAACAGCGGCATACGCCGCCTCCAGCCCTTCAGTCGGAGCCATCAACCGCAAACCCCGCAAGCTCTTCTCTCAGCCCGGCGGCGTCGGCGGCGGCGCGCGCGCTCCCCGGACGTTCTCACGCGCGCGCACCCTGCCCCTGCTCCGCCTCCTAGCCCCGCCCCCGCGCCGCGCCGAGAGGGGAGCTCGCGGCGGTAGGGGGCTGTTGGCTGCGAGAACAAGCGGGTTGCGCAGGAGAAAGACCTGCAGGCCTGGCGCTAAACAATAAGTGGTTGTTACGAGTTATGTATTTATGTGGCATCCACCACACGCCTCCGAGATCCTGGGCGTTTTGAGGTTAAAAATGTTCAGGCTTCGAGAACCAACCCCTGGAGGAGTGTTAGGGTTTCCGGGCTCGGGTGTCAGCGAGCTTGACGCTTGACCCAGTTGTGTCTGTCCGGGCGGTGACGTTTGGTCTGAGCTGAGCTTTCCTCACAATCGTGAAGTTGGTCTGTGAGGATCAGGCCTCGCCAGACAGATGAGAAGCTAGAGGTGCGGAGAGTCTGCGTGGGGTGGAAGTAGAAGTTAGAGTTGAAAAACCTGTTTTGTGTGGGGTATACAGGACCCTACTGCCCTCAAAATAATTATGTTAATCTAAAACTGCTCTAAAATTAAAAAGTTATTAAGAAAACGAAGTTTAGGTCGGGCGCAGTGGCTCACACCTGTAATCCCCACTAGTCGGGAGGCTGAGGCATTGAACCGGGGAGGTGGAGGTTGTAGTGAGCCAAGATCGTGCCACTGCACTCCAGCCTGAGCAAGAGAGTGAGACTCGGTCTCAAAAAATAAAATAAATAAATAAATAAATTCTGTTACTCTAAAACTGTTCTAAAATTAAAAGATCATTAAGAAAACGAAGTTTAGGCTGGGCATGGTGGCTCACACCTGTAATCCCAGCACTTTGGGAGGCCAAGGCAGGTGGATCACAGGGTCAAGAGATCGAGACCATCCTGGCCAAGATGGTGAAACCCTGTGTCTATTAAAAATACAAAAATTAGCCGGGCGTGGTGGCCGGGACCTGTAATTTCAGCTACTCAGGAGGCTGAGGCAGGAGAATCACTTGAACGCGGGAGGCGGAGGTTGCAGTGAGCCGGAATTATCCACCCTGGCAACAGAGCCAGACTCCGTCTCAAAAAAAAAAGAAAAGTGAAGTTGAGGCCTGGCGTGGTGGCTCACCCCTGTAATCCCAGTGCTCTGGGAGGCCGAGGCGGGAGGATCACTTGAGGCCAGGAGTTTGAGAGCAGCCTGGCCAACATGGCAAAACCCTGTCTCTACTAAAAATGCAAAAATGCAAAAATCAGCTGGGCTTGGTGGCGGTCGCCTGTAATCCCAGCTACTCGGGAGGCTGAGGCAGGAGAATCCCTTGAACCCGGGAGGCGGAGGTTGCAGTGCACTCCAGCCTAGGTGACAGAGGCGACCCCCGTCTCAAAAAAAAAAAAAAAAAAGAAAAATAT